TATGCCTTGTTATCAAACATATGTAATTACGAGATCATGCTAAAATAAAGGAAGGGCTTAGCCTTAACATACCTGGAGTAGAAAAAAATCCGTATGATGTTCTTGGAAAAGGTAGCACCGTACCCCTTAGAATTGCAAAATCTTACGTTGCTAATGTATAAACAATTCTCGTTGGAATTGTTGACACTTGTAGGAATCACGTTGCTTAATGTAAGGTTTAGAATCTGATTTGAAGTGTTTGAAAATGAGAAATTGAAAACTTATCAGAATGGCCAACGTTAGTGTCTTTGATATGGAAAATATTGGAATGAAATGAATGTGTAAGGAATTTAGGAATCTGATTGTTGAGAATGAAATGTTACTTGTAGTTAAAATCCTAAATGAAGTGTCTTGAAATCCATACATTAGGTTGCCACATGACCCTTAGTTATTTGTTTGGTTAGCTCCTTGCTGCCACGTGGGGGTGGGGTGGGAAATATTAATTTTTATTCACTTATTAGGTAATGACCCGTTATTCGGTAATTAACCAATTACCGCATAATTAAGAATTATCTCAAATTACTTAAAATTGTATTCATTTTTAATATACTTTATACATCATACTATCACAGTCATATGGTACCTTGTATGGTACTAGTCTATAAATATCGGGTATTATAGCTCGGACCGTATTTTATCCCAAATCAACAACCTTCAACGAAATTCATTTTCTTTAATTTGTGTACCCTTTATCCTTCATGGCACTTACTTATTGCTTGTTATAAATAGCATAAATATGCTAACCTCAAGATAATCTCATCCTCGAGTCTATGTCAATTAACTAAAGACGAAACTTTAATGTACGAGAAACGCGAGATGTAACAATAGGTGACAGATTGGATAATTTAGGATTGAATCTGTGACCTTGCACAAATTTGTGCAAGGTTTTTTAACTGACGGGGTCGGATGGGATAAGAGAAAGGAGAGGGAATTGGAAAGAAGGGCGGCCGGTGGCGATACAAATGAGTAGTTTTTTTTTGTTAAGCAAATTATACTACTAGGCGGGCTGCATTGTAACTATTTTATTAATAATAAAAAAAGAAAAGACCACAAAGGAAGAGTACAAGTAGGGGGAGGGAGCAAAAGCTACAGTAGTGTTGCCTCTATTGCCTCAAATGAGTAGGGTTTATGGGTGTTTGGTAGGTTTAAAATGAATGATAGAATCTGGGATGTTGGATCTTTTGATCAACAGCCCTGATATTTCGGATAGTAAAGATTATTAAATTGGTTTTTGATAAAAAACGGTTGTCGTTTTATCTTTGTGATCCAACGGTTGAGATGGTGGATGGTAAAGATTTTAAAGAATAAAGGGAAAACAGAGATGGATTATGAACCGTTGATGAGTTAGATCAACGGTCAAGATTCTTTGTGTTTGTTGTGTGAATATGGAAGAGGGGTGACGTCGCATGATGCCATTGGCTGAGAGGAAATGGCATAGATTGGCAACATGGGATAGAGGGGGTAGATCTAGACCGAGTCAGGGCGTTTGGGCTCGTGTATTTGGGCCAAAACAACTGAAATAGATTTTAACACATAGCCATTGAGTTTAGTTGATTAACTACAATTGTAGCGTTTTGAAATTTTAATCCCTTTAAGAAATAACTTAATTAATTCTAATTAGACGTGCTAAAATATAATAATTAAATATACTATTAATTACTGTAATTAATTAGTTAATAATTATAATATTTCATTTATTAAATTATAAACAAATTTTGGCTAATTAAAGTAATAAAGACAACATAATTATAAATCAAAGACAATATAAAAGTTATTTTAATAATTCAAAATAGTAAGAGTAATATAATCCATGAATATTTAATACCAGATTGCTATTAATTCAATATTATTAATTATTATTACATATTATATTTTTGAGAAAATAGGTATTATTGATTTTAAAATATCTTACCACATTTATTGCTAATTAATAAATATAATTAATTTAATTTTAAAAGGGAGGGTCGAAATTGATCGTCAATAGGTGGTAATGGTAGTTGAGGTTGAGGAAGGTGGTGATGGATGGTGGTAGTTTATAATAGTGGACAATGATGGCTATGATTGATGATGGTGGTGATGATGGTTGGTGGTAGTTTATAATGGTGGACAGTGATGGCTATGATTGATGATGGTGGTGATGATGGTTGGTGGTGGTAATTGAGGTGGGTGGGCGGGTGGTTGTGATTGAGGATGATGGTGGTGGTATTAATTGCTAATGGTGGCGATGTTGGGTGGTAGTAGTCGATAATGGTAGGGTGGTTGGCGATGGTAGTCGATAATAATGACAGTTGCGACTCTGGTTGAGAATGGTGGTGGTCGATGATGGTATTCGAGTATGGTGGTGGTCGATGCTATTAGTTGAGTATGGTGATGGTGGATGGTAGATGATGGTAGACGATAATGGTAGATGGTAGCAACGATTAGTAATGAATGTGGATGATAACATCTTAATAATATTAAGTCGTTATTACAGGTATTAATCATTCAAACCTATTCAGACCCATTAAGTGATTATAAAATAAAAAAATACACTTAATGATTAGGATCTAAATAATTCAGATTCGGATTTAAAAACAAGCACACTTAATGCCTGAGATTTGAATTATTAAGATTCATACCTCCATTAAGTACAAACAAATAAGGCCTAAGCATAGTTTTGTGATCTACTTGAAGACTTTCATGACGACCACAAGAGGCCATATATTCCTTACAAATATATAGCAACAGGCTCTCATAATATGCTGTTCGCACGACCTTTTATCTGGTATGAATGATGCAATACATATTTAAAGAAAAATATATTTTTCTTAACTTTGTGAAGCTTAAGCACTCTCATATGTATGGGTGAGAGATGTTGAAAAATTACTACCCATTAGCTAGTCCTCCTCCTAAAACCCTAGTACTAGCCTATATAAACACCATTGAGGCAACTATCATAGAAAAACTCTACTTTTGTACTAAAAGTACTATTTTTTTAAATACCTATAAATATATTATTTTTTAAAAATGGGGCCCCAAATTTGGGGGCCTAAGGCCAAGCCTTACTTGTAATAACCTTAAAGTCGACCCTTATCATCGTGGTAAGGGCAAAGTGCAACAATAGCCACTTTTAAGCGCGTTATTTAAAATATATCCATAATTTATAATGTATTTAAAGATTAGCCAATTCACCCAAACTTCAGGACTAAGTATCCTGAATTTGGAAATTCAGGACTTAGTTTCCTGAATTTTTGAGCTGCTAATTTAAAATTCAGAACTAACAGGGATGTGCATAATTTGGTAAATACCGAATCACCGTACCGAAATCGAATTTTTTGGTATTTGGTATTCGATATTTTGGTATTCAGTATGGTATTTGGTTTAAGATTTAAAAAAATATGGTATTAGGTATGGTATTTAGTATTTTAAAATAAAATACCGAAATACAGATACCGTACCGAAATATATATTATATTACACAAAACACATATTATTAATTATAACATAAATATAAAAAAACTAAAATTTTACTTTCTTTTATTCTCTAAGTTCATCAATTAACACTAAGCAAGTAAGAAGATATTTCTAATGATCAAATTTATTCCTTTATGTGCAGTTTTCTCTCTCTAAGTTGATATTTGCTGGTTTTGGACAAAACTTTTGTCAACAAACGTTTTTAGTTTTGTACTTTTGAGTACTTTAATTAAGTATACTATAGTCTATGACTCTATGCACTTGTTAGTATTAAAACCGAATGAACCGAAGTTACCGAACCGAATAAACCGAAACCGAAAGGAGAAAAATTGAACCATACCGAATTTAATTAGGTACGGTATTGGTATAGCATTTTAAGAAATCGAATAACAAACCGAAATGTCTAAATACCGTACCATACCGACCGACGAACACCCATAGGACTAAGTGTCCTGAATTTATGAGCTATTAATTTAAAATCCAGGACATAAAATTCGAACTTCTGGACATAATTTTCGAAATTTAGGACACGATGTCCTGAAGTTTGAATTTTGAGGTTTAAACTCTAGGACTTCAGGACTAAGTATCCTCGATTTGGAAATTTAGGACTTAGAGTGCTGAATTTTTGAGTTGCTAATTTAAAATTTAGGACTAAGTGTCCTAAATTTTTGAACTACTAATTTAAAATTGAGGACATAATATTCGAACTTCTGGACACAATTTTTGAACTTTAGGACACGATGTCATGAAGTTTGAATTATGAGGTGTAAACTCTAGGATGTCGTGTCCTGAAGTTTGAGCGAAATTGACTAATTTTTAAATAAATTATAAATTATGGATATATTTTAAACAACATGCTTAAAAGTGGCTACTTGGTGTCATTTTTGCGGTAAATTGTAGGGCGAAGTGAAGCAATATCCACTTTTAAGCCCGCTATTTAAATATTATCCGCAATTTATAATGTATTTAAAGATTAGCCATTCACCAAAATTTCAGGACTAAGTATCTTGAATTTGGAAATTGAGGAATTAGTTTCCTGAATTTTTAAGCTGCTAATTTGAAATTCAGGACTAAGTGTCCTGAATCTCTGAGCTACTAATTTAAAATTTAGGACATAAAATTCAAACTTCTGGACACAATTTTTGAACTTTAAGATACGATGTCCTGAAGTTTGAATTTTGAGGTTTAAACTCCAGGACTTCAGCACTAAGTATCCTGAATTTGGAAATTCAAGATTTAGTGTCCTGAATTTTTGAGCTGCTAATTTGAATAAGTGTCCTGAATTTCTGAACTATTAATTTAAAATTCAGGACATAAGATTCAAACTGTTGGACATAATTTTTGAATTTTAGGACACAATGTGCTGAAGTTTGAGTTATCAGGTTTAAACTCTAGCATACTGTGTTCTGAAGTTTAAGCGAAATTGACTAATTTTTAAATACATTGAAAACTGCGAATATATTTTAAAATGTCATTTCCGCTAAATTGTATTCCCCTAATCCCTGGTATGGGCCCAGAAAACTTGAGAAGCCGAAGGAGCCGAATTGGGACAAGCAAATACGAATTCTAGCAGATACTACACTCTGACGAAAACCTCTCCGCAGGTCCGAACTTATTTCCTTTCCTGATTCGAATTATATCTTCGTCTTATTCAACTATCATAAATCCACAGGTGTATTGTGATTAATTCTTTGTATACGAATATAGTATACTGTAAAGAAGAAGTGATGTCGTGGAGGCTGAGCAGGGGTGATATAGCCGGATTGAGAATACTGTTTAGTGTGGGGATATTTTACGGATTGATATCGGTGCTGGTATACTCCATCATTCACATGAAGTTCATCACACCACTTGGGATGGAGGCTCCTCTTGATCGCTTCTCTGAGGGCAGAGCTGTTGAGCATGTTCGCGTCTTGTCTAAAGATATTGGAGGTCGCCAGGTATACTGTATTTGCACTGGGCAGCCCTAATCAGTATTCAATTGCTTTGTTGTTGCTGCTGAGAATGCATGGAGTAGGGGAAGATTAAATTATATTCCTCAATCCTTGTCTGCTTAATTAATGCGATAGGCATGAGATATTAACATGAAACAAATGCAACACATGTTCAGTTGAAAAAGTTTTTTTTTTTGTGAAAAAGTTCGTGGAATTTGAGATGAGTTTGGATAGTTGCAGCCTTTTTTTTTTTTTTTTTTTAA